GAGGTAGAAACAAAGTCTACATTTGTCAGGGCTGAAGTTTTCTATTTGCCACGTGATTACTAGGGAACAAAGTGTTTAACATAGAAGACTTAGTTCAATGTAGAAACAGAGAGAAAACCAAGGGAGGGATATACACATGCACCCTTTGAGATCATGACTTCAGTCTGTTCTTTCAGTTTTACAAAATAATTATTTGCCAAACTTATTTACAGAGAAACAGATTTAGCTTAAATGCAAGGAATAAAAATGATAAACAGTACTTTATCAGTCTAAATATTTCAAAACAGTGGAAGGYTTTCTGAACAGAAAAATCTCTTACCTACAGAAAAGATTACTTTTAAAAATTCTCTTTCCCCCACCCCCAGTGAAAGGACATTTGTCTGCCCCCGCATTTTGTAATGCCTACTCACACTTTCGATTGTGAATGCTAATTTTTACTGTTTTAAACATCTTCTAAATACCAGTTCCAGATTGCTTCTACAGCCTTGTGGGATAGGTTACCACCTCCAAAATAGCACAGATTAACCTGGTCCTACCTCAAAGAAAAACACAGAGAGGGCAGCTTTCAGTCAAATGACTGCTTCTTGTTTGTGCAAACATAAGAAAAAAAATAGGATAAAGTTTAACATTTTCACTTACCTTGAAAAGGCAGACAGGACATCAGATGGAATTTTACCAAGTTCAGAGGACATTAAAAGAACGGGAATGCAGGATTTCTCTAAAATACATGCCCTTTGATATCCAAAATTGGGATTTAGATATTCAGAATGTATCAGCCAGGAAAGATATCAAAGGAGGGGAAACTAAAGCTTTATTAATTTATTCAGCTACGAAACTGGACCCCTGACAAATATAGCAGGACATCAGGGCATGCATTATATTCCAGTTATGGCACAAATCAGAGAGTTAGGCTTATCTGAAAAGRCAGTTACCCCCTGGTTTTCTTTCGTACCATTTCCTGTTGCTAGTGGTCTCTCATTACTACCTGTTAACAAAAATAAATTAACTAATACTGCAAGGAGCCAGCATTCCCACAACCATAGGGGGACAGTCACTGCTGTCAAGTCAGACGTAAAAGCTCTCAGTATGTTACATTCCTATTCCAATCAATACGATTTTTTAGAAGATTCTTTATTAGAAGATGATCAGTGGAACATTTAAGTCTTGAAAGAACAAAGCTATTCAATGGTATACTGAAATATACAGTCCAACTCTTTCCTTTGATTCTGTTTGGCAAGTAGCCAGTCAAAAGCATTCCACAGAAATAAAAAGCCACTTAGAGAAAGTAAAAATAAGCTGTGTTGACTAACACTTGCTGAGAATATAGCACAACCTTAGGAGACTCAATTTCATTACTTCCATTTGATTAGCTGTGCAGTAACTTATTAAATAATCTGGTTACTGAGTCCTTAGAGGAAGATACCAAAGAGAAAAAGATGCACTAAAAATAACTATACTGGCAAGCACAAGCTCCTAAGCTAAGCTGATGTGCTCTAATGTCATTTTGGAACCAKCACTTGTAGTACTAGCAGGTGCAACCAGATTCCTATTATAAATTCAGAACTGAAAGCCCTTTACATTTGTAACACCGCTTTAAGGGGAGCTTATATAACTTCGGGAGAATATATTCGTTGATTGTTTTTAAACAAGTCTTTCTAACGATCACTTGCTCATTCACAAGTTTTTAAATAAAAGTTTATTAGAGAAATTATTTTGAACAAAAAAAGCAACAGTATCTGTTGTAATTTWAAAAAAGTAACATTGTTTTCTTCATGCCCTATAAGGTAAACTGAAGAAATGCTACAGGTATTTCTTCTGCTGTCATTCTGTGATGCCTTCTAGTATGGATTAACTCACAGAAAACCACAAGAATAAAGTATGAACGCAGTCCCTTGCCATGCTTCTCTCCACAAAGTGCTGCATATTAACAGAAAATATTGCAGACAAACCACACTTCTATTCATTCTGCCGCATTGGAACCAGTGTCTAGAAAAGAAAGAGAAAAAAGTATGAATAGTGCATATCCATACCATAGAGCTGTGTGTAAGTTAACAAAAACCAGTACTATTTTCAAATATTCTCCCTGAGCCCCTAACAGTTTTCTGGAACAGAACATGCTCTTAAACAGCCTAATTTTCTCCCCTGCTACCAACGCRAGGCATGAACTGCTTTGAGTTTGACTGCATTTAGAAACAAGCTAAAGAGCCAAAGCAAAACTTTAAGGTTGGGCACATRCATCATTTACTATTAAGGCATTAGAAACAGAAGMAGCTCTAACTTAAGATTGTACCCAAACACATGACTGCAGTTCACCCCATGCAAGTGCTAAGAAAAGTGTTTTTCCATGTGCAGTAGCACAAGCTCCTCTTTAGTCTGGGCTAAAAAAATGCATTTCTTATATGACACACACACACACACACACACGAGATAAACTATGATCTTCACAAAACAAAAGTCAATTACTTCCTTAAAAAGGTTAAAATGTTCATTGTAACTAAGCCATTCAGTTCTTTCCAAATATTAATAATTTTCATTTGTGATTTATTCAATCACAGATGAGAAGTAAAGTTTCCTGTACTATTTAAGTACACAAAAAATAATAGATCGAGACAATTTCTGTCAGTTTTTCAGAACTACAACTTTAAGCAACCCTGTAAGCATGCCAGGAACAGAAAGCCTGGAAGAACCTGTTTCAAGGTCTAAGGTTTATTTAACTAAAAGCTTTTCCAGTCTCACTTCTTCCCAAAGAATGCTAAACAAGTGGCACCTTTTCATACCTCATTAGTGATATTCTGACACAATTTTAAATAATTTCTAAGCCATGCTGCTAAAAAATAGTCAATTATCTTTTTCAGTAAGCATTTGAAAGGAACACTCCCAACAGTAATTCACTTGGGAAGATAAGAAATAGGAAGTCCAATAACAATGTACATAGAGAGGCCCTCTTAAGTAGCATATAAATAAATATGTGCATGTACTTTTTTATTTTTTTCATATACACGCGCATTTTAAAATAATTGCTTTCTTAAAGGAATCAAGGGTTCTTTGAATTTGATAAAGTGTGATACTCTTCTAACAGACAGGTTAATAGGAGAGAAATTACCACAGAGAAATTCAATTAGCATTACTTTAAAGTTTACAGTTACTTTAGTATTATGTCCAATAGTCTCCCACACATTCCATATTCGGTGCTTGCCATTTAGAGAAGCATTCAGCTTAACTCGTTTCATTTCACATTATAAAAGCATGCACAACCCTGCTTTTACCTAAAGAATAGAATCAAACCACCCAGCTTTGATCACAGATTTGGTCAGAACCATGCTCAAGTCCTGCCTCCCTGCCAGCTTATTTAAAGCATATTCCATACTTACTTTTTCCATCACATGCTACAATTTTCACTTTATCCACTTTCACAAGTTCAGTGACCTCCCTAAATTCAACATCATTCAGTACAAATGTCCACACRTTGTCGCAGAACCTGTATGTGTTCAGAGATCCCTTGAAAAGAGAAGAGACATTTTCTATGACATGCATCTCAGCACTATCAGGAAATAAGATGTTTATACTAAAGTTTACTGAACTATTTATCTTGTAGAAGTATAAATCAGGTTTGTCATAAAGACAACTGCAAATCTCAATATATAGATGCCAACTTGACAAAAAAGCAATTCTAAGGGAACTTCAGATAGCCTTCCAGTGGAAGAGGTTTAACTCCATGAAGAGATGTGATAGTCTACACAAGGGGGGGGGTCCTTCACATGTAACATAGAAATCTTTGTTTTTTTAAATGTGCATAAAGGTTCAATACAACTTATTTCAAATTCGGAACATTTCACAAGATATAGGGCGTAATCTAAGTTCATTATAACAATGAAAGCAAGATAAAAACACTATACAAGAAAAAACAGTAACATAACAAAAACACTTGACAAAACCAACCCATATAATTTAAAGGGCTTGCCCCGACACTCAATGCCTTAAAGACATTGACAAGTCCATTTCTTGGCCTTCATTTTTTAAGTTTTAAGTTGATATTCATAGGAATTAAGCTTGAAGAAAGATTTTAATTCTCCAGACACTCTGAACAAAGCTCTCTATACCACACTTGCTTTACACTTGAACGTTTAAGAACAGCTACAAAATGACTCAGTACTTCAGGGCCRATCTACAACCCTCCACGCTACAGTTATAGATGAACTCGTGGCTTCATCTCGTTTCTGCCGTGTAGAAGAGTGGCAAAATTCTGACCATGATGAAGGTGATGGAGGCCACAAGGCTACGTGTCAAATCATTTTATGCTTCTTCCTCCTTTCTCACGATTCTCCCCTTCCCCACCTGCGGTCTCTTTGTGACTTGCGCATATACCAAGACATTCCTTGGTGGAAACGGGGGGTCCCAACCCTCAACACCCGTTGGCACCAGCACGGCGGCCCCGCTCATGCTCCGGCCCGTGGCAGCGCTCGCTCCCCGCGCCCGCGGAGGCCCCTCGTACCCGGCCCTTACCCTGAAGTTAACTCTGTTCCTGACGCGCTGCGCCAGCGCCGCGTTTATGGCTTTATCGAACTGAAGCAGCACCTGAAGGGCCAGCTGAGGAGTGATTTGTTGCGACTGGAGATGGAAGAAGAGAACACGGGTTAGAGCAAGCGCTGCACGGCCGCGCTCGCCTCCTGCTTCCCGCGGGAGCGGCCGCTCGGGCTGGGCGCTGGGGGAGGGCCGGGAGCAGCCGCGCGCACCTGGATGAGCTCGTCCAGGCTCTCCTGCAGGCTGTTGCCCAGCGTGGTGTTGCGGTACAGCTGGTAGGCCATGGCCGGCGGCAGCGCCCGCGCTAGCGGCGAGAGGCGCCTGGAAGAGCCCGCGCGCCCGCAGCGCCGCGGCCCGCACCCCCGCTGCCGCCTCCCCGCTCCCACCGCGCGGAAGGGGCGGCGCCCGCGGCCCGGAAGCGGAACGAGGGGCTGCGCGGGGCCAGGCCGTGCCAGCCCCGCCCCTAACGGCCGTAACGGCCCGCGCGAGGGCGGGGAGGCGGCGGCGCGCGCTGCGGGGGGCGCCGAGCGCAGCCCGGAGCCTGAAGAAAAGCGTGAGGCCGGGCTCCTGCAGCCGTGTTTATTGCGGGGCTGAGCAGCTTCCAGGAACGGTCACCGCGCTCCGCCACGTTACACCGAGAGAGGAGAATGGAGAAGGCCGGGCGCRAGGGAGGGAGCGAGAGACACTTTTCAGAGGTAGGTGAAGCTCACACAGTTCCTAGAAAGGGGCCAGGGGCTCAGTGCTGGCCCTGGAGATGGTCAAGGCCAGGCCCAGGGCCCGTGTCCACAAGCTGGAATAAGGACCCTGCAGAGCAGCACTGGGAAGGTATCCGTCCTCCTTGAGCGCATCCTCCAAAAATTAACCTGGAATTCCGGGTCAGGAGCTTACCCAGCAGACTGCTGTCAGGCAGGGCCTGTCTTTTTGAGAGCACTGTGGTGATCCACCTCATGACATTTTCAATAGCAAAGGAAACCTGAAGGTGTTTCATCAGAGAAAGCTGGGCACAAAAACTGACACATGAGCTGAAACAGTTTAACAAAATTAAAGTGATTTTTGACCATCTCAGTTATACTCGAAGAAAATGAAAACACCAAACACTGGCTGCCCCTCCTACACTGCTGTGCAGGATACACTTGTTTTCCTATGATCTCAATATAAGGAGCAAGATTCACCAAAGGAAACACAGTTTAACTTAAAACTACCAAGTCAGAAAAACTGCAACATTTGTCTTTCAAAATATGTATACTTAAATATTCCTTCTATTTCAGAAGTACTACTCTGACTATAAGCAGGTGCTCTTAAAATTACAGCACACTTAGTCCAGGGGCTCCTAGAACCACCATCGTTAAAACAAATCCTGTAGGGAATGACCTGCATCCACCACAGGGGTRAGAAAGAATTTTCATCAAAAGCTTTACAAAACATCTGCAGTTATAAAAAGCATTAAAATAGTTTCCAAAGACAACAGCTTTTGATAACAGCTGCATTTAAGCAATCTTTCTACATAATAAATATTGAGTACATCCATCAGATAAGTGATAATTTGACACTGAAAGAAATCATGCCTTTCACCAAGAATCTTCTCTRCAATATACAATTCAGAAACACTCCATTCCTAGTGAAGTTTGGTACTTTTTTTCCCTAGTCACTACAGATTTTTCCATAGGTGACATGATCTCTAACATATGGCTAAGCAYTGACACCCTTTCCACCCAACTACACACTAACAGCACTTCATGAGAGATTCATTTACCACCAACACTTAATCTCACTTTGGAATCTGACACAAAATCAACTGTTGGAAGGTCTTAAACTGCCACCACAGCATTCACCAAATGTGTGATGCAGGAAGGTTGCTGAAACATGTTAGCTCTACCAGGCTACATACCCATTGTGTACTGTCTAGTATTCAAATAGAGCATTTTGGTACACAGTTCCTCACTCTACATACTCTTCTCACTTGTCCAGTGCATTTTGGTACACAGTTCCTCACTCTACGTACAATTCTCACTTGTCCAGTGCAAATAAGGAAAAATGTTTGGCATAGATGCCAAACTGCATGAGTTAGAAACACTATGTAGTATTCCAACTACTTCCAAGCTTTCTGTACACTAACATTCCCCATTTTAGAATTCTGATACTTCAGAGACTTCAATCTACTTCAGCACTGTCTCCCTACAGCATCCCTCTCCAATGCTTTCCAACATAACATGCCTTTGTCATACTAGAAGGGGGTCAAGAACCTTAAAGCAAATTAGTCTGGCTCCATCAGTTTTTAATGACACTTCGCTCCAAAATATCTTGGCCACTTCTGAACATTTCTGCTATGGTAGAACTCAATTTATAAAGCCTCACATCCACATAAGCAGGCCACTGGCTCAAACATCTCTMTTTCAGTTGCACATAATAAAAAACGCTCCTAACAATTTATCACCACCTTTTTCATATAAAATCATAAAACCTCTAAATCACAAGGTAAATCAGTGACTTATGAACTTAATTTTCTTGAGGGCTGAAACGATTTTTTTCCCCATGATTTCACTTTTAAGAGTAAGTGCCATTCAGAGGTGAATTTCCTACAATATTTTATCTTACTATAAAGTGATTCGGGTTTTAAAATATTTTAGTATGCTATTGCAACTTTTTCATGCATTTAAATAATATACTGAACTTCGTAGATTTAGAAATATAAATGACAGAGTTACTCATTTATGTTCAACATTACAAAAAGTAAAGAGGTCCCAAAGTTAACACCCATCTCACCATTAAAAGATGAGATGGAAAAGAGTGGAATCATCAATAGTAATTGTTCTCAAACTGTTTAAGGGACAAGGAAGGAGCCCTTGTGCTGTACATTCATTCACAGAAACACTAAAGAAAGAAGCATGTATACATCTTCAAAGAAATAGCACTTCTGCAACATGGAACTGTAGAACCACTCAGCCACGAAGAAAGGCAAAGCTACAACTCATCAAGAAAAAGGGCTTGGCTATTCTGTACTGCACAATATATATCAAAAGCAACAAGCCATTCACGGAACTGTAGTCTTTCACTAAAAATAAGCTTTTATGAGAAGTAAATTTTTTCAAGGGAGATTTTTGAAATTAGATGATCAATACTACTTAATGTCTCAGAAACCTCATGTAACCAGTAAAATGAGCAAGATTGTCAGTCATGCCTGTTCATACACACTACATGCTGGCAGTACTGGAATCAAAGTAAACAGGCTGTCAAAGTGTCCAGTTTACTGACAATAATTTACATCAATTTAGGTCAATTTCAGATATGAATGGGGAAATAAGACAGCCCTTAACAGAAACTGTTCACTTCTGTTCAGCTTTCAGAGCAGGAAAGCTTTCATTGTTATGAAAGGGATACAAAGCAACTTCAAATTAACATTGGCTGTTGAAGAATATCTTGCACATTTAGCTCTTTGAAAGCGTGATATACAAACTAATGTAACAAAACTACTCATGTCCTGAGATTAAAATCTCTGATTGGTAGATCTGAAATTAAAATATGGGGAATTTGACTTCATCTGACATGAGTATCTGCTCTTACAGTAACCATATGTGTATCATTAGAGATTGAAGATTAAGCAATCAGCAATAAATTCTGCTCATGGAACTGGCTCTTGACTTCTACATATCAGTACCAGGTAGTAATCCTGTCAAATGCCACCTTTTTCTTTATAAAAAAAATCTACATATGGTAACATTTAAACTAATGGACATACTTTTGATACTAAGACAAAATTGTAAGCACAATAAAAATTAAGATATTTAATACATTTGCTTCAATATTAAATTGTTCAGCTCCTAAATGGATTCATGTGCATACACCAGCTCTTACACAGAAATAGCAATGATTATCAAATAGATTTTTCAACCTTCTATAAACAGTGCATAATTCTGTTGCCCTGATAAACCTATAAACACTGGTTGATGCATCCAAGAACACCTCTTAAAGACAGATGTGTACATGTTTACAGCTATTATCAGAACCTCCTCTGCAAATCACTTTTTTATTTTTTAAAGTGAAGTTAGTGCCAGTAAAAGGTGCCGAACTGATAGTTTTAGAAATGGATGCGACATCCACAAAGATGACACAGGCAGTTAAAGATGTCCTATACCTCTGCAAAATAACTAAATTTCACCTGTGCAGACAATTGATATTATGGTTAAAATTGTATCTATGCAGCTTCCAAGCTCTGCAGAAAACAACCAGAGTTTCTGTTGGTCACAACTGATAGTCATCCAGAAAGAACTGGACAGAGCTCATTTCATACTCACCGCTGAACCAGCAATAGCCTTAATTTAAGGAGGCAGAATCTACATTTGCTGCTTAAAATAGCAAAAGTTGTCATATCCTATTAGTGATCTGAACGGTTCAGTTCCCAATACACTTTAGTCAAAAATCCCTATGGCCAACAGACTGAAATTCAGATAACTACAGTTCTGTCTTGTGAGAAATGGACTAAAAAGGCACCCAAGTTCAAGCTCGCTCTAGCAAAGTACATGAGTTGTGCTTGTATTAGAAATGTGAACACCACCAAGCCTCTACACCTGCTACGGACTACATGACGGACTGTTAACATCCAAAAAAGACAAGGTTTATACAACCACCGGGAAATGCATTTGACCATTTACAGCAAAATATATCATGTATTTTGTACAATAATGACAACCGTCATATATGGCCTTATCTACCTACAAATGAATTCCGCTTGCAGGTACACATTTTGTTAAGAGTCATAAAAATATATATTATCTCTTTCCTTTAACATTTAGGTATATAAATATTTTACTGAAGAACATGCATCATTTAGATAAACAATTGCAAGAATGTCCTCTAAAAACACAGGGTTCTTTGACATTTAGCAGTATAAAATGATTACATATAAAGGTAGCTATTAAAGACAAGACATAAACCATTACAGCAGTGAACACTCCATTGTGTGCTAATCCAAAGTTAAGCACCTTTTGTAACAGGTTATATAATATATACATACACACACTAATGAATGCATCATAAATGGAGAAAAATGGAATCATTCCATCTGCATATTCTTCTGTCCTGTTTGGATTCCAAACTTACTGTTCATTTCTCTGTTCGTTTTCCATTCAGCTCTTGGTCAATTCTGCTTAAAGAGAGCAGTAAAATTGTTAATTTAACTCATTTTAAGCCCAAATGATTATTTTTAACAGGAAGAGCTGAAAGCTTTCACACAAAATTTTTAGTAAATATTAAGATCTTTACTGAATGCAGTCATAACAGTGCTTTAAAAAGATATCTTATTTTTCTACCTCCCCCTTGAAATGAATTAAGTATGATAAGAAGCCATTTAAGCAAGCATAGCATTTGAAAAGTGCCAGTGAAATCTGACTGCACAACAAGAAAAGCAGGTTCTGGGTTGTCGTTAACAAATGAATGCAAGCAGGAATAAGTTTAAGTAACATGACAGCTAATACTGTCATGCACTACTACTTTGATGAGTTCATATACTGCAGCATAAGCACAGAAGTACCTTTACTCTTACAGTAATTAAGCCAAGAACAGAACTAGTTGAATCAACAGAAGTTCTAAATTGCTCCTATACTGCAGTATCTTTTCTCATAATTTCCAGGACTCCTACAAATGATCTGGAAAATATCATCATCACACTACTCTTTTTTAAACCATCACCTTTGGAACTGACAAACAAAGTCTTACTTTGCAAAAACTACTGGATTTTTAAGTAGTCCTGCATGAGATGTGTCTTGTAGGTGCCCAATTGCGTGCCCTACATCTTCAGTTTCTCAAACAATAACCAGTCAGTTCCTTCAAAGTAGTAAAACCAACAACTGCTCTCTCTAAGCCACGAACCTCCAAGAAGTGGACGCACAATGCTACACTGGTTGTACACTCTGAACCTAGTACATATTCTGTATTCATAGTTCATATTCAACATATTTTGGAACAGTATCATCTACAAATCAGTCTTAGTCAAGTACATGTGTACTTGCATGGCACACACTGCAAACGGTCCCTATCCTCACTACGGTATTACAGGAAAGCAATTTTTGACATAAAGGATCATTCACAGAAACGTGTTAAAGAAAATATGGTAAGCCAAAACAAACAAGGGCTACACATAAATATACTGCTAACAGTATACAATCATAAAATATAAAATATTCTCGCTTCTGTGGTGACTGATATACATAGGCAAAGAATTTCCACTATCATCCTTGACAAACTGAATAACTGAACTTCTTATCCCTTGTTCTGATAAATAAGGCCTACAATGGTAGTCAAATCCTATCCAAGTCTCACCACCAGGTAGTGCGTATGAGCTTTCAAAAAAAATATTTTATCTTCCTATTTAAAATTGTTAAAGTAAAAGAAACATAAATGGTGGTATTATTGACAAGGACACTAAAGACTTGGCTGCACTCTTTTTACATTAGTATTGGAATGTCCCACTCCTTTAGCTTCTTTCTTTTACCCCATCTCTCGGTCTTCCTCTCTGCCTGTTACCTCATTTGCAGACAATAAGACTCCATCAGTCATTATGCACACATAGCAGGACTTGCCAAAAAAATAAAATTAGTATCAAAACATTTCAGTACAATTGTTAGTGTGAAAACACACATATAATCAAAAGAAATCATTTACTTCTGTAATGGTTTGAATGGTTATAGCAGGGCCCTGAAGTTTAGCAAAATGAAAACCCAGTGTCTATTAGCAAGGAATTCAGGCACTGCAAATACAAACAGCACTAAAAATATTAACTCATTTAGGCTGTATCTGTGCAAATTAATAGAAGTCAGCAAATACCAAACAAAAGCAAAATAGAGGATTCAAGTTTAGGACTTTCCCCAACATGGCCTTTACTGTTGACTGCACCTAAACCCAACTCTTCATTCAGACATCATTTCTTTTTATGAAACAATGAAGCTTAATCAATTCACATCCAAGCATGACTTTCCCCTTGTGGAGATATAGTTGTAAATCTGCACTTCCCTTCAAAATGAGCAATTCCTGGGATACTAGGTACTATTTACTAGTATCTAGCTAAACAGCCAGGGTGTTATACTGCATTTACAGTTAGTATAGCTACTTCCATGCATAAAACTTACTAGTGCATGTTTATATTTACAAATGCTTATTCCTTTAAGCAAGCCAATCAACTGGGAGTTAGTTGCAGTGCAAATGTTCTTATCTAGATGCAGCCCTCATCAAAACATGAATATACCTTTTCTGTTTCTTTCTAATTTTTTCTTCTTCATACCTTGGTGAGGAAAAGTTTGATTTCAGTAAGTGAAGGATACGAAGGCCAAACTCAACAGAAATGGTAAACTGCTATTACTGTCAATATATTTTGTAAAAAGATACCAAGTTTGAAACTGATATAGTTCATATATTGTACTCCCAACCTCTACATAAGCCTTAAAAAGAAGCATTAAGATATAGTTACTGAGTCATAAGATATGCATCCAATGCAACCTCTTGTACAATATCTATCATTGAAATTTGAAGTCAGTATTCATAACAACAATAAAGCCCTAAGTCTACCAAAGTAGTTCAGGGATTAACTCCATTAAGTCAACCAGCTCAGTCTTTCCAGCAGAAGTAAAATTCATCAAAACAGACAGGAGTCTTTCCAGACTTGGAATAAAAGTCTGGATTTTGGTAACACCTCCTTCAAAACTCTTCTTTTAAAAGGGAAAAATCAAGACAAAACTACAACTTTGACATGTCTTCTTCCACACAGAAAAGCACATCCTTCCCTATTAAAAAAGCTCATTTTTCTAGCCAATACCAGTTGTAACACTGCAGTAGATACTGCCGAAATTGCTACCCTCAAAGATGCACACTTCTCCCTAGAATGGCACTATGCCATCCTTCCCACTTTGCCACCACACTTGTAGAATATGGTTCACAACATACGGTTTACAGGTTCTCTATTTTATAGCTCTTAATAGGAGGTTCAAGCCCCACCCCCTTAAATTGTTAATATTTCCAAATAGTTTTTAAGTTTATGATCACTATTCCATTACAGGATGCATCCGCACATACTGTTAAAAAAAGCCATCACTATGTGTGAGGGCATATAAACAATTGTACTGACAGTAAAGTTACACTATATGGCAAAGGCCTGGGGTAAAATGGCAGTGAGGAAAGGGGAGAAAAAACAAGCACATGATGCTGCCTTTCTCTCCTCCATAGCACTTTTAGACTACTACAGTTAAGAATTCTTCCATTGCAAATAGGTCAGCATTTCATTTAAAGGAATAAGTACTAATTCACTGCTTAGCTTGCTGTGCATTTTGGCATAAAATGGAAGATATCTGTAATCTAGTACCAACATGCCCAGAATCTCTCACAAGCCACTTGAGCATACAATTGGAAGAAAACTGCAGGGACGGCCTCATCCCCATGGTTCATATGCCATAATTTGGTACCTACTTGAGTCAGTTTATATGAATGTTACTATATATTCTGACCATATATGCTGCTGCATACAAAAATGTATAACAGCAACATGGTCACACAGATGTTTATCCTGCAGATGGCAATGTTATAAATTAACAGAGACTTTATTAAATACAGAGCTTTATGTTGAAAACCACATACATATACATCGTGCTACTAAAACATGATCAATTTAGAACATATTTGAATAATAAAACGTACTGTTTTATGCACTCTGGGATGCCAACATATTCCATGGGGACGAGTTCAGCAAGTTCTGCCAACGTAAAGACATATTTAATTTTTTGGCTGAATTTTGAGCTGTGGAGAAAAAACACACAGGGTACAGTTACAACTTGCAAAATGTTCAGTAATATTAAAATAGTTTTTGAAGTTTAAATATTTTCCAGGGTATTACCTAATAAAAGGTTTAGTGATGGCCAGAAGTGTTCTGATAAACCAAGAAGGATGTACTATTATTAATGATTTCAGATTTTTCCTTAATCTGAAGGAGTCAAACACACACAGAACAAAACAGAAACAGGAGAAAGTTAGAGAATTTTAAGAGAATATTTCTTTGAACCTTTTGACACAGTTGTAGTCAAGTATAATACCTTTAGTACTTACATAACATGTTAATGCATGAAGKTTTAACAATATTCTCCATGGTAACAGTATTCAGCAACCTAACAATCTACTATTTTTATTTAAAAATCAGGTACATCAGTGGCACTGTTTCTACTCTGCCTCAATTTAAGAGATCCTCAATATACCAAACAATTCATTTAGGTAAATCTTAGCTAGCAGGTAGCACCACATTACATAGCAGTTTTCCTACAATACATATTATTAGATTAATACTTTTAAGAAAATACTGTAACAGAACTACTTACCTTCTGTCAATTTGCTGGTAACATTTCCTGAGCCAGCCTAAACTTGGCATTTTTCTCCGTGTTGTTGCACCATTCAAGTAAACTATCATATAGTTCTCTGCTACTAATAGCTCTAAAGTGCCAATTACATACCTGCAAAGGTAAGCACAGAGAAAACCTTCAAATAAAGATCTAGAAATAATAAGTGTAATTCCTACTGCTGCTGAAATATGTTTTTAAAAAATTGTCACAGGTGGACATCTAGGGCTTATTGTTTTGCTTTGTTTTCCCTGGAAGTAAATGTACCTGCTTTGTTACTTCTTACCTTTCCCTCATCTCAAGTGTAAAGGACTTCATTTAAAAGAAGAGAGAGGCGTAACCTCCCTAATAATAAAATACTGTATCTCACAATGGGAAATTAAGATGGTATCTGGAGGCAGGTGACAACTTACTTAAATAGATTGTCCATTAGATATCTGTAGTTAGGCTGGCTGCTTTCTGGCATAAAGCAAACCGCAAACACAACAATGGCATTTAGCCCATCACCGTAATAACCTAAAACAAAGTACAGAGTACCAATAAATTACAAGAATGATAGTAAGTTGACTGTATTCACACAAAGACAGGTCAACCCTGCTTGATAAGCTTTTCATTGTACTTAAAAGCTTTACAAGATTCTGCGGTTAAATTCATACAGTTACAAGAATATTTAAGTTCATTCATCTACTCTTAAGGACACAACTGAGATTACACTAAATCAACTGCTTCACTTACACGTAAGATTTCAGTATATTTAAGTGTTCTAGCTGATGGGCTTTTCTTCTAACATAAACTTCACATACACTGCTGAGAAGAGTAAATAAACCAACTCACTCAAATCTGCAGGCACTGCTTTCAACACTCAAAACTGTCCCAGTAGCACAGACAGTCGTATCTTATTACATATATTCAGCTTAAGAAACATTCAGAATATTTGGGCAACCCTGTCATGTTTTAAAATTGCATTTTTTTCATTATGTTTTATATTTTTTAAAGCCATATCAGTACCATCATCAAAACACATGTGCATTTTGAAACTTCAGTTTAACAAGAACAAGTCAACTGTTTGCCTTAATGATGCAACATATGAATCATCTATCAAAGTCCTTTGGCTTCACGTTCTTCTTAGCCCACACCAACCCCACTCAGAACAGTAGCATGTCACTAATTACAACTTCTTACCACCGTGACTGATAACTTTTTTATACGGTTCAATCGCCTTCATGTCCACCCTATGGTCCTGTTCTCCAATCCTAAACATACGCCAGCGTCGACCATCATCTTTCTCCTCCGCCGCAGTGTATTCCGTAAGTGATCCTTTTCTAATTACATCAGTAGTTTTTGGCTTTGGAAGATCATCTACCAAATTTGAAATATGTTCAAGATCCATTATGAATACTATGCATAATGACACCCAACTACAACAYAGGTTAACCACTTTGTTATCTCATCTATTTTAATATTCTTTTTCCACTCAAACATATTAGCTGACTTCAGTCTTTTAGCCATTACAAAAACACACTATCATGGATGCCAAATACTTTTATAAAAATATTCTGTTTTATATTAGCCATTACAGAATACAGCACCATGGATGCCAAATACTTTTATAAAAATATTCTGTGTTAGCATTAATCTGCATCATTTTTATACATAAAGGAAGCCATTTAATTGCAGGCTTTCAGAACACCAACATTTCGCCAAAATAAACGAAGTGGTTAACTTCAGTGATTATTACAAAGGTTGCTTGATCACAGATTGACACAAAAGCATAATTTAATATCAACACTATCTTGCAAGCAAACATGCAGACATCTATTTGAAATTACATCTAATTAATGTGTGTGTGCAATCATTATATATGAAATTTATGCTGATAGCAATCTGTGAAAGAATTTGCGCCAATTAAATTATGATTCTTGACTTTGTTGCATAGACCTTACCCAAAGCGAGAAAAACCTACTGCAAGTTAGTTGTCTGTTCCCAAGACAAAGCTGTTAATTGAAACTATCCTTCCAGGAAAATGAAGACAGCAGCATTAAAGGAAGAAAAGACAGAAACCCTTTTCAGCCACTTTTAAAACAAGACACATATCTGGAACATTTCCTTAGCATCATTGCAGTGTTAGCCCTAAACACCAATTCATTCTTCTTCCTTAAAGTGATAAAAACAGACAAACACAGTGTCTGCTATTAAAATTTGTCCTGCAACATCTCCTTAGCTATTAAAAAAACATTTTTGTTTCAAAAAGCCTTTTTCTCCAGTAACAGGGTATCTTGGAATGAAAATCAGGATCTGTTTCACATGCAACAATGTAAAAGAAAACTTATTTGCTTGGAAATTGATTCCCTTATTTCCAGCATAAGGAAAATAGAGCTTGCAGGTTCACTTATTGTAGATGCATTCTTAAGGCATGAATCTCACTCAAACATTCTAAGACATCAGTTGTAAGGGCTTAAAATACAATTAAGCTCCACATTTGAAACTCAAGTGGACTTCGAGGTAACAAAGGTCTCTGTACAAATTAAAATTTGGTAGCATCTCAGGTTTTCATCTCTAAAGATCAAAAGAGATGAAGGTCTTATCTATATCCATTTTTAGGATAGTTTTTGTGGCACTTGCAGTACAGGTACTGCTATATTAGCGTTCTRTTATTCACTTCAGAACTGATGCAAAACAGGGATTCTGCTGCTGCTTCCAATCAAGGTAGAACTTGCAAACTTTAAGGTTACCAACCTTTGCCCTATCAATGTATCACATCTTTTTTTAAATAACATTCAATATTCCACAGAGTTTTAAAATTTACAGATTGTGAAAAGATAAACTACAGTGTAAACACTCTGTAAATAGTGTCTCCATTTAAAAATGGATCTGTAATTCTCAATTTGTTTCTTAGAAAAAAATACTGTAGTGGAGGGTTTTTCATAACTTTTAAGTTGTACAGATGTTCCTGACATTCACTTAGGTTTATTTGGCATTATGTTTGTCTGTTTACTAGTCAGTCATGGTTATACTTGCTTTTTACAAATTCATTGTGCCTATTTGCAATGCCTAATCTAATATTTCCTTTTATATTTTTACAATTATAATGCTAGGTCTTAACTACTCCCTACCTGAAAAAATGCACTTAAGGATAGAAATGTTCAATGGAATTAGACAAAACGCAACAAAACACTTACCTTCCCATTCAAATTCATTACTGTTCTCTGAGGGAGTGTCCAAGTCATCCAAATCAATCTCTCCACTCTCATCCAAATCATCAGACAACACAGATTCCTCACTGCGGTCCAAAGTTAAGCTAATATCAGGTGCCACTAGTTTCTTCCTCACTTTGTTCCCATTTGCTTCTGCATTTAAAAAGCAGGCTATTTACTTCTAAAGTTTAAGCAAGTTTAGACAAGCAAATTTACAAGAAAGAGCAGATTTTTTGTAAAAAAAAGTACATAAGAAATTACCCATCACTTGAACAATGCATCTTGAGAACAGTAATAAAAACAAATATAGGGTGACGAGAACAGCACTTGAGTTTTAAGTTCTCAAGTCCTTATTGCATCCGCGCTATGATCTCAGTTGTAGACCACCATATTCCTTACAAGAAAAATGCCAGGTGCTACCACCACCTGATAATCCATGCTAGCTATGTCCACATGCACCACAAGCCTTTCCAGATGTTATGCTAAGTAAGTGTTAGAGACAGTGCAGGAGACTAAGGATTTAGCCTTTGTTTTGGTTACATATTGTTAACATCAAAACCACCTTGGGAACGGGGAGTATAAGCCACAACAAAGGCTGATGGACAACAAAAAGGATAAAAAGCCAAAGAAACTAGGCCAACACACAGCATGTTTTGAGACACATTGCAAATACTTGCGTGTTTTAGACAGCAGTTGAAAGCAGGGAAGAAAATAAAATGACTGATCCAGCACTGGAAATGTCAAAGCTAAAGCAGACAGACAAGATGAAATAAATAAACAARGAGCGGCAGAAAAGGCACCAGAATTTCCTCTCTGACCTTCAAGAGGTAGAAGAGTCTTAAAAGGATTCTTAGAATCATGAAACTTGGTGTGAGCCTAAGTTAGGCCTTCACTGTCACTCAAAATCAAATGAATCAGTATTTTTCAAAAAGGTCAGTAAAGGAGAGTACAAGTTTTTAATCTAGTATTAACTGCATAGCACAGTTTAGAGGGAAGATAATTATTCTCAAGATATTTTAATTCCAAAAAACATGTTTTAAGTAACAGGTTTATGATACTCATTACACACAACTGTTACTTAGACTGCTGTTCCCTCAAGCTTTGCAAGAGTTTTAAGGCAGTTACATAASCAAGTAGAGGTCTGTTTGACTAGGGTGAAGTGTTCTTACCAGTTTCACCTTCTCTTCCAGCCTCAGCCAAAACATCTGAGTCAACAGGATCATCCTCTGGCAGGGGCCTGGTGCAAGTAAGTAAAAAATATTAGATCCAAAGGGTCTCTTTTGTAACCAGGTAACTGCTACAAAATCCACTGTTGCATAGTATTTAACTAAATATACTTTTAGTCTAAGCTCAGGCTGTCAGCAAACTGAGCATTGAAGTAGGAGGCAAAGTCAGCACTCAGGTGACCATCTGTTGATATGGTGAAAACTAGAACACTGGTTGCTGTTCTACTGTCTGTCACCCTTCAGAAAATTTGCCATATTCTTGCCTTGAAAAAGACTGATATTAAAGTGACAGAACTACTGTGATGTATTATAAAATACCTCACAAGTCAGCTGCTTTATTGCCTTTTGAGGCACAAACATTCTCACCTGTTGAAAATGTCACCTAACCAAGTATTTGCAGTTACAAAAGGTTACCATAGTAGAAAAAARCAAAAACAATCTTTATTTACAGTTTCCACCTTGGTAACATTCAAKACTAACAGCAGCATTTCTACATTACCGGGATTACACCTGAAGAGATCTCTCTCCAGCCCACTGAGAACCACACCACAAAAATCTTTGAGACTACGTTACTGGAAATCACTTCAAAATTAGTATTAAGCATTGATTCATGCAAACAGARAAACCTTTTTTTTCCCCTGTATATTATAGAGTTGAATTAATTATTTTAACCTTGGAAAATCTTCATCTTGCCATTCTTCCTTAAACTCCACACCTTCCATTCTTCTTGAGTTACTAACAGGGACTCCTGCCCAGCCTGAAGCTCTTGTCTCCAAGACAGCAGGTTATAAAGGAGCTGCAGAAACAGACAACAGAAGACAAGAGTTTAACACAGGTGGGATTCCAGTATGTGTAGTGTGTCCTTTCACTTACCTCTGCGAGGAGATGTTATGCAGGTGGGGGAAGCATCTCTGCCCCATCCCATCCCCTCTTTCCCCTCCCCAGAAAACAAAACAACAAAACCCCAGAACACACAGACAGAACAGCTCTCTGCTGTACAGTGATTTAGGTCAGAAGGCATCTCTGGAGCTCATTCAGTCCAATGACTTGCTCAGGCAGGGCCTATTTCTAAGTTAAAATCAAGACCTTAAGCAACCTGATCTATTATTTGTGCTACAGTAATTCCCTCTAAAGAGACTATACGAAGCCTGAGAATTCAAGATTCTATGAGAGATAGTGAAAAGAAACAAACAAAAAATTAATCAGAAGAAAAACAAAACCAGAAACCAGATGGTCAGGTCTAAAATACAGCCCAGCTCCTAAAAGAGCAATTTAAAGGTAACTCCCTGTTACAGAACTGGTTTGTTCAGAGAACTCACCCCAGGACATGCAACTCAAGCCGCAGTTTTCCAGGCTCACCCATCACCAGCAACACGGAAGCCCCAMTACTGGGGCAAAACAAACCATTCTGGTGGCACGCAAGTTAACGTCTCATCCAGCACAAAGTTTTGACAGCACTGGCTCTAAAATTAACGGGAACAAATAAGCTTATTAATAAAGGAACTAATCAAATGGACAGTTACCAACATAGAAAACTACACAGTATTTTCAATTGCAAAGAAGCAACACAGACTACTAGTAGATACAAAGCCTGAATACAATCACATCACTAGTCAAGTCAGAGACAGCTTATATTTCAAATACGTAAAGACAAAGTCACCTTTACTGTTCTGTAGGACCCTCTCCTTCACAGCAACTCCTAGAAAACTCATAGAGCTTTTTTTTTTTTCTTTCCTGATCTGATTTAAATCAGACTCATTAAAAGAAGTCCTGCAGCTTCTAAGGCAACACCACACACAAGCTGGTTAATAGACACCTTTAAAGACTGATTTTTTGTAAAATTGCCATACAAGACAAGGTGTCAGCAGAGCACACTTACACTCTTTGCTGTCATCTCCCTCCTTCTCCCAACAGGAAACTAAAATAATGTTTCTAGAAAACCACCACTCTACACAGCTGGAAGGTCTCACTTTCCATGTGGAGCTGCTCAGCCGCATGTGGCTCAGTTATGGGCAGGATGGGCACCGAGCCACACACACGGGTTCTCCGAGARGCTGCCCTCCACTAACTGTCCTGCCAGCTCACCCTCTTTGCCCCTTTTTAAAAAATATGCTGCTTAGAATAATTTCCTCGTGGCTTGAATCGTGCTGTTTCTCAGGAAACACATCCTCTGTCATCAAGTTGCTGACACTTTAAAGCACAGCCTCCAGCATACTAACATGCTGGGGTTTATTGCAAACTATGAACTTTTCATGTTTGCTTTAAGGTAAGATCCTATTTTTACCAACAGTAACAGGTGAATTTGCATAGAGCTATTTCTGAATTTTTGTTTGGGTCACTTTGATGAAACGTGAGAAGCCTCCTGAAAATATCAGATACAATCACATTCACACAATAATGCAGTCACAAACAATATGGAATAGAGCATCTGACAAAGTSCACCAAATCCAACAAACAGACCTTAAACCTGGAAGAAAGCCCAGGCTGACTGTGGCATCTCAAGGGACAAATCACTCCTGGAGACCCTGGGCAACAGACACAGAGCCAAGCGCTGCTGCTCTGCGGGGGCCACAGGACATGGCCTCGAGTGCATCCGCTTCCCACCACGGCTTAGCTCCAGCGGCAGAGCCCGAGGCAGGAGGTGCTCCAAGGCCTGGGCAAGGAGCTCAGCACCGCTCTGCCGAGGAGAGCGCCGGCCATCAGCCAAGGACCTCCAACTGCAGCCCASGAACACCCCCTACCTCCATGTACTTCACTGCATCGAGATAAACTCAGTGTTCAAAGGCACAGAGCTTACAAGTTCTTTTCACAAGTTAACAGCACTTCAAAATACTCATACAAAACATTTCCCATGTCACTTGCAGAATTGTCAGCAGCAGCATCTCAGAAAGGCACATTAAAAACAGTTATTTGGTCAARACTGCATTGCACAATTGCAAACAATTTACAACAAGAGTACTAAATCTTATGTAAAAGAGGCATGAATTTTAGATGATTTCTACTCACTGCCCTACTAAACATTGATATCAAGTATTAGTTTTGGATTTTTTTGACTCGGGTAAAGTCTCACATGTAAAAGCACTATCCCTTACCAACTAGAAAAATGATAAGGAAGGATATTCTTCAATTTCAGGAAAGTCAGAAACCTGGTAAACTTTCAAGTTTGCTACTGAATCATCTTGCCCTATTAATAAAAGGGCTTACAGAGCAGGAAAATGGATCTTAGCACTTCTGCTTGCACAAACTAAGGACAACTTCAGAGCAGTTCCTAAGGCTTCCGCAGAGCGCTGACTTCCTGTGTTTTCACCAAGCCCAACTCCCTCATTAACTCAGCAGTAACAGAAAGATCTGGAAGACTAAACTTAAAGTATGTTACACGCTGCAATAGCAAGTCTTTATTARCTACACAGAAAAAAAACAAAGTACTTCTACCTGGTCCTACTGCGCCTCAGGACCAGCTCCGAAGAGCCCGGCTTTCTCTGACCAGCTCACTTCCTCCTTTTTACTCTCCCTTGCCCCTCTCTCCTCATTTTATGAGTGGAAATGGTATTTGAAGAATCAGAGCTGCAAAGGTCAGACACTTCCACATGTTGGGGAACACCTGGACGCAGTTCTAGAGATCAGCATTAACAGGGACATCCTGCGCTTCCGTCCTGTGTCTCCAGAGACAAGTCACAACACTAGGAATGGGCGGAAAACGGGCCTAGTGCGGAACACACCACTAAAATCCACTGCTCTCCTGCTAGAGCTGAGGGAAGTGCACCCCTTCCCTGCACAACCGTGYGTGGGGTACTCGTCTGAAAAGGCCACCACCTGCACCGAAGTGAAACCCCGTCGCTCTGGTCCCTTTTCCAGGCGCAAGCCGGAGCCAGCGGCCTCCCTGCTCTCCCGTGAACACTGCTGGGAAAGGGGCAGAGCAGGAGCCACCACCGCGCCCTGCGGAGCTCCCGGCGCCGGCCGCGCCGACGAACAGGCGACCACAGGGCCGCCCCTGCCGCGACCCCCTCGAGGCGAGCGGCTCTCCGAGGCCGCCGGGGAGCGGGCGGCGCGAGACGAGCCCGAGGCCGGGAGGGCGCAGCGGGGAGCGGGCGCAGCGGGGAGCGGCCTCAGCCGGGCAGCGGCCTCAGCCAGGCCGCGCCGCCAACCCGGCCGCGCAGGGAGCCGCCCGCCCGCCCGCCGCGCCGGGAGGTGCCGGGAGGTACCTGGAGTCTCCCGGGGACTCCCGGGGGCACCGGCGGCTCCCGAGGGGCCGCGGCCGCCGCGCCAAGGCCCGCGACGCAGCGCTCCGCCCTCACCCGGAAGTGGATAGGTCGCCGAGTCACGTGAGGCYGCGCCGCGCACGCGCGGAATATAACGGCTCCTGCCCCGCCCATCCGGGCAGCTGGCGCCTGCGCAGTGACGTGGCCCGCGCGTGCCCGAGGCGACCGTTGGCGCCCCCGTGAGGCGGCGGCGGCGCCATGTTGGRGGCGACAGCGGCGCGGGCGCGGCGGGCGGTGCGGGGCAGTGCGGGGCGGGCGGAGGCGGCAGGCGGGAAGGGCTGGTCCCRTTTTACATCCTGGGGAGGTGACGCGGGCGGGGCTGCCTGCTGGGGGCTGCACCGAGTGCTGCGAGCCAGCCAGAAACGGGGTTCGCATAGCACGGTGCCTTCGCCGGCCGTGCTCAAGTGAAATCACAAGCCGGGGTGAATACTAGCTGACTGTACAGCCGTGCTCTTGCTGGAAAATAAACACACTTTCCTTCTCTCTAGGGTGGACAAGAAACTTGGAGGAAGTGTAACAAATGTGGAGGAAAAAAGAAAAGAACTAAAAAATGATTTGAGTGCAAGAAATCCCCGAATGAAGATAAAATACAAGCATAACTGGGAAGAGAGCAATTATCGAGGTAATCAGAACAGTAAAAATACATTTATCAGTATCRTATGAACCAAACAGACTGAGGTCTGTGGGCATCACTGTCAAGTTAGTTCTTCAGAGAGTTGTTAGAAACAAAATAAAAGCTAGCTGTTGGTAGGAGAAATATAGTAACAGTGAGGGTAAACACCAACAGGGAGGCAATAATACATCTCCCATCTTTGCCACCATTTTCTTGTTTGTTTGTTTCTGGAAGTCAGAATGCCACAGAAGTGACCAAAGAGCATTATTATGTGTAATTTCAGTCTGCTCCCACTTGCACACCAAACTTAGCATGGGCAGCATGCCTACTTYGGGGGGTCCCTGGGTCTGCTTGTTAGTTGTGTGACCAATGTGCAATGGACTCATCCTGAAGACTGTGTGATCAGAACCATCAGTCTCACGAATCAGCTGTGCCTGGAACAGTTGCAATTACTCAGACTGCACTGGGTCCAATTGAGCTCCACAGGTCAACAGTCTCTGTGTTTCCTGGGGAGGGGAGTCTTTACACTACCTGAAATAAAAGTTCTCTTGCATGGGTTGTTAAGTTAGCATGGAGTAAAACTAACTCCGGGCTCCAGATCATTTTGTGGGGATCAGGAGTGTGCAATTTCCCATCTCTTACACGAGGTGGCACAGTGTAGCTGGACATCTATTGATGTTCCTACATAACGTAGAAAACAAGCAAGCAAGGGGTCGGAGCTCACTACTGGAGGATGTTGAATAATTCTATTTTTAAACATTAGACAATTGCAAATATAAGCACCTTCCTACATGAAAGCTTCACCAAAGAAAACAGGCTTGTAAGAATGCTCTGTAATATGAACTTTGTCCTGTACATCACAAAAACACCAACTGTCAAACAACTGAATTCTAGCACACATGAAAAATTAGCAAAATAATAATTAAAAAACAAAACAAAACAAGATACTAAGAAGGTCTCAGATAGTTTATGCAACAATTCAGAAATGTTGGAGTTTTAAAAAAATTGTTTGAAAATCCATGTCTGCCTGAGGACTGGACATTGGGACTGCAGAGGTATGTAATTCCCTCCATGTCGTGTTCCCTAAACAGAAAGCAAGTGTACTCGGTAAGTCTCATCTTTCTGATGATAAGGTCCTTGGGCTGTATTTTACCTCAGCTTTTGTATTTTACCTACATAATTTGTCTGCCGTCTTAAACATTTTTGTGATTCAGAATGACAAGAGTTGCACAGGATAAAGTGGTAAGTTTCATATAGGGGACTGCGAAGATGATGTTTTGAATCACGSTATTCCTGTAGGGTACATGATCATCCCTTTAAAGCCATGTGAAAGTTAAAGCAGTTTTCAGGTTGATGTTACTAGCTAAAGGTGATAGTTGCGTCTCGTTGTACTGCGAGTGGAGCGTGACCCCCTCGCCACAGCCCTCCTTGGCGCAGTTTCCTTTATCCCAGCCCTGCCTGTTCCTCAGCTAGAACCCACCCAGCTGTAGCGGGTTCATTCCTCTTCAGGCTTAAACTTCACATGTCTCCAAGCGCCGGACGGCATCTCTGTCATTTTTGCCTTGTGTGTCTGGGCACATGCCTTTTAGCTGATGGGAGGTCAAGGCAGAAAGCAAGTTGCAAGGAGGGTGTTGTGTGTGGATTCAGCTAAGGAAGTATGAGAGTATAAAGAACATATCCCTTAAAAAACCACCAAAGCTCCTTACCTTTGCCATCCCAAGGATATAGATATTACTGCATTCAAAAGAGCATGAATTTGTTGGGTACCAACAGCAATACCAGTATGAGAAAGAGCAAGTGCCAAGTTGCTAGCCTTGTGTCTACATTTGTGGGAGAGAATAATGGTTATCTTGTTTACAGAAGTTGTCGGTACTCTTCATTAGTGTTTAAATAAGCTTTCTGGAAGTGAAAGGTACTAAGACCATTACTCTTAATATCATCTTTGCAAATGACTGCATTTTCAAGAAAAATAGTTATTAATCCCAATTCTCACTTAAGCTGAAAATTCAAGTGCTGAAAACTGAGTGCTCATAGATGCTATGGGAATAATGTGGGAAATAAATGCAGTAGAAATCTCTTGCTTTTGCCTTTTCCAGATAAAAATCATTAGATAATTCTAGYGCACCAGTATACTTTCAGGCAAGCATTTGACATGTTACCATTAACTTGCATTTTTAAATTTGTACTAAACTTGTTCCTATCACCAAAAAAAAAAGATGCAGATAACTTCTGAGTTTATTTTCTGCATATTTTTGGTATGGTATCATGCGTTGTAAAGATATCCAGTCTTTGCCATCTGCAGTTGTAGTTTAATGTTTATCACAGTGCTGTGTTTGTAATATAATTCTTATGATTTTGTGGTCAAAATCCAGTATAAAAAGTGGATGACCAGCACTAGGGAAACATCTATATATAATCAAAAATCTGCAACAGCCCTCTCATAAAACTGAGTTCTCTGTTTGCTTTCCTGTGTGCTTAGATGGTCAGGCTGTTACTCATATTCGCATGCTGTATGAAATCAGTGATACTTGGTTCAGATCACTTTTTACAGTTGCTGAAAAAAACATGAAGTACCCTGTTACATGGACAGAAGATGTCTTTGCTGGTTGAGCTTGAGGGGAAAACTGGGTACAATTATATATTCTTTTAATTATTCATGACTTGGGTCTGAAGTGAATGTGTATACGTTTTTCACTTATTCACTTTATAAAATTCAAAACTAAGCCCAGAAGCAGTTTTATTCTTGGCAGCATGACAAGTTTCCTTTCCTCAACAAACCAGTCAAAGGAATTGTTCCTCAGAGAGTTTGTCATCTCCACGTATCCCAGAGAGTGGAGATGGTAGCAGGCATTCATTACACCACCATCACACACAGGCGTGCGTGCTCCCTCCTTCTCGTCCTCCCTGGCTGTGACAAAACATGCACCTCTCAGAGGACTGAATTTATATCTAGCATGTAGTTTCATTTATGTAGTTGATTTGCAGCTCATTAATCTAGAAAACAGCCTGTTTGGGTAAGAACATGTGCATCCATATTTTGATTATTCCCCTCCCACATCCACTGCAACATGTAATTTTAAAAGAGGGAATTGGCTGTCTTTTGGGGAGCAACTAGAGTGAAAGCAGCTCAGGAGCTAACGCTGATGTAAACATACATTAGGAAATTGTTTTGATCTGGCCTATCAGGCTGCTGGCAATTCTCTGTGCTTCCTTGGGAGACATGCAAATTTATTGGACACAACTTGACATGATTAAGGCAATGCATACATGGGAGGTGATTGCCCTTCGGCAAGACAATGATGTCAAGAAGCAATGATTCTTTGCATTCTTGACAGTGCAGGTAGGATCATGAAATTAGGGTCCTCCTGTAGATTCAGTACAATTTAGGTGTTCTTTGTTTTTTTTAAACACTTGTTTTCTCCATCTTTTATGGTTGAATTATTGTTGTTTGTCATGCAGGGACATTTACAGGACTCAGTCAGTTTGTATTCTTCAGAATCTAAACCTAAATAATATCTGTTGATACTATGATAGCTTGTTGAGTCTAGAGACAGAAAAAAAGACAAAATAATGCCACAGGGAAGCATCAGTTTCTCCTATTCAATCACAACAGAGGGAGGCCTTCCCTTTGAAATTTAATTATCAGAGACAGCAACCTTCCATGTTGACAGAAATGTGCTTAAAAATCATCCACCTGCCTGAATGGAGTCAGATTCATTTTGTGCCAGGGTTAATGAGGAATTACTGATCGCTGCCTGGGAATTTGGGGGTGAGAACTGTTGAACTTAAGGTGAAAGACTCCATATCCCATTACTACTCCCTTGAGTCAGCCTAGCAAATAGCTAACTGTAATATCTTAATTAACCATGTGTTAACATGAACCTCATTCGCCTTTGCAAGCCTAACACATGGCTAATTACGTGGTGTTGGCACGCAACACRCACAAGGGAACCAGGCAGTACTGCTGTAGTGGGGCAGTTAGAATTCCCACTGTACAGGCTGAAGGCTCTAAGATGATGTTGTTCAAAAGGCAGCCTTAATTTAACACAAGCGTAAGGCGATAAGGAGAAAGAACAGTGTACCTGTTGTCTGATGGAGAACGTTGCGCTTCAACCTCCCAGACAGAACAGTCACAATACTTGAAGGAGGCCAACTTTGTGTCGTCTTTTCCTGTTCTGCGCAGGTAAATGGTGAGAGGAGGAGGAAAGGCACAAAGCATGGGGCTGTGGAGGCTGTGACCCTTCGCGTGCCTTTGATGGRCAGCTCGTATCCAGCATGCACTTTCTGCTGCTTTGCAGGCTTCTGCGGCCAGCGTCAGTGCGGCCTTGCTGTGCTGGGCATGTGAGAGGGAAAGGAGGCCTGTTGGGA